CATCTGTTTCATGTGTTTCATGTGTTTCACATATTTCATCTGTTTCACGTGTTTCTAGTGTTTCACATGTGTCACATGTCTCATATGTTTCTTGTGTTTAACATGTTTCATGTGTTTCATGTGCTTAACGTATTTCACATGTTTCATGTGTTTCACATGTTTCACATGTCTCATATGTTTCTTGTGTTCAGCATGTTTCATGTGTTTATTTAACATGTTTCATGTGTTTCACATGTTTCACATGTCTCATGTGTTTAACATGTTACATGTGTTTCACATGTTTCATGTGTTTATAAATATCACATTACCATTAAATATCCAAAGAAATTTTGTTAAAAGACAAAGTTGTTACAATCTTAAGGGGATAGAGATATTTGTCAAACCAGAATTCAGAACTAGTCTGAAGGGAAGGTCTACCTCAATCCAAGGAGTTGGATTGTGGAATGGTCTAGAGAGTGATGTGAAAAATGACAAGTCAATGTGTACATTTAAGAAAAAGATCAAAGCTGAATTGTTAAAAAAGTATATATGAAGTAGCTTATTGTGTTTTTGTATTAGAATTAGAAAAATTAGAAAGAGTTATTCATTTTGTTCTGTTACTTGAAAATTATTAAATAATTGTTTGAAAAAAGGGGCAGATATAATAAGATTTTTTCTTCTTTCTGCTGCCTTTCATTTTAAATCTCTTGTATCTTTTTTATATTGTTATGGAATTGTTTTGTACTTTTTTTAAATGAATAAACTTTGTACCATACCATACATATGTTTCATGTGTTTAAAACGTTTCATGTGTTTCACATGTTTCATGTCTTTCACATGTTTCTTGTGTTTTAACATGTTTCATGTGTTTAATTTGTTTAATATTTTTCATGTGTTTAACATGTTTCATATGTTTCATGTGTTTAATATGTTTCACATATCTTGTGTTTCACGTGTCTCATGTGTTTCACATGTGTTACACATGTGTTTCACATGTGTTTCAGGTGTTTGGTATGAGGTCATCACAGTTGGAGCTCCAGCTGATCACCACCGGGCGTTTAAACATGGCGGACTGAAGAGACTCTTGAGGAAACTCCACAGAGAGAGGTGACCTCATCTCTGCTGCTCTGATCGTTTCTCTATCCTTCATTCCTGCATTGATCCGTTTACTCCTGGCTGTCAGTTAATCTCTATAATCTCTGCTCTGTCAGGATTAGGGACAAATATTAGATTTCATGGTTTGTAGATTAACATAAACTCTTTAGATTCATAGAATCACTCAGATCCACCAGTTCCATCTGACTATTTTTAAATTTTAAACAATCTGTGTGTTATTTTTGTGATGTATTCTCTCATCACAACACTATAATTGTCATTTTTGTCTCACAGTGCTGTGCAAAAATCTTAATCTAGTTTTTTTATATAATTTTTTTGTTGATACAGTACTGTTTCATTCCTTGAGTTCAGGAAACTTTTTAAGTCTAAATGACTTCACAGCTCAGAGTTAACAAATAAACAAAAACTTCAACAAAAATTATTACGCACTGGCCTGAAACTGAATCTGCCAAAGTTCAAAGAAAAGTCCAAAGAACTGTTGAAGGAGCCCGTTTAAAGATCAAAGGAAATTCTGTAAAGAAATGAGGTCTGAGTAAATGGTGCCGATTTGGCCAAAGTTTGTTTTCAAATCTATAAGCAATTTTTATAAAGTACTTGTTTCAAACTATGAAATCAAACATAAAAGTTTCAAAAAATGTATTAAATTTGTCTTGAACTTTATCAAAGGTTATCTAGTACTGTATCAAAGGGTATCTAGTACTGTAT